GCTGGATGGCAGCGTGCGTGCCCCGCTGGGCCCTCAGCACCCGCAGCCCTCTGGCCCCAGCGTGGTGCAGCCGAGCGGGGCAAGCTGCGGGCACCAGCCGCGGGGAAGGGGCTTTGCCTTGGCACGGCACCATGGGCTGCTAGGGACGCACGCATGGCTGGCACAGACGGTGGGTGCTCACAGGGCGGGTGGCACGAGCAGTGGCATGAGCATCCTCGGGATGCTGGTGCCATGCAGCGCTCTGGGCTCTGGGCTGGCAGTGGGGCTGTCTTGGGCTGTCGGTGCATCGCTGCTGGGGGCTGCAGGGGACTGTAGGGGCTGTTCTGCCGTGCCAGGGTTGCCACTGGCCATGGAGTCTTCCCTCCAGAGGCAGGTCACTGCTGTCACACACAACACAGTGCTGCAGAGGCAGGGGGTGGCACTCAGGGCTGGGGCTGTGCTGGGGCTGCAGGAGCTGGGTGTTGGTGTGCTGGGGTGCTGCTCTAGCAGGGTGCCATGGACACAGTAAGCTGGTGTTGGAGTGTTGGTCTTACGGGTCTGGGGAGCTTGGATGACAGGCTGTTGAGTGCTGGGGGGTTGCTCCAGTGGGGTCCCATGGACCCAAGAGTTGGGTGACATGGAGCTGTTCCTATGGGCTCGGTGATCTGGGTGTTGAGATGCTGCTCAACGAGGTCCCAGGGGCTCCTGGATGGTGGGGGGGCAGACACCCCTCCACCCCTGTGCCCTGAAAACAGATGGGGGATTCAAGGGACAGTAGCTGCTGCTGGCAGGGTACTTACTGCTCATTCTGCCTCCTCTTAGGCACGAAGTCCTTCAACATGATGTCCCCCACTGGTGACAACTCAGAGCTGCTGGCCGAGATCAAGGCTGGGAAGAGCCTCAAGCCAACTCCGCAGAGTAAAGGCTTCACCACTGTCTTCTCTGGCAGCGGCCAGGCAGGGGCCAACGTAGGTGGTGAGGGGGGCCTGGGGAGCCAGTGGCACAGTGCCGCACAGCATGGCAAGTGCCCACCACCCTCCCTCCCTCCTTCCACAGGCAGAGTCGCCAGTGTCCTCCCCATCACCCACCAGGACGCCCACCCCACCAGCCACCCCCGAGGCTGCCGGGCCACCACGTTGCCTGGCAGGGGGCTCGCCAGAGCCGGTGCTAAATGGGAGCTCACCAGTGCCAGCAGCAGGTGCTGGGGCGGCGGTGGAGGTAGAGGCGCTGGTGCCGAGCCAGGACGAGCAGGGCCGGCCCATTCCCGAGTGGAAGCGGCAGGTGATGGTGCGCAAGCTGCAGCTCCGCATGCAGGAGGAAGAGGAGCAGCGGCGCAAGGTAGGGGGGTCCCACGTGCTGCGGCGGCGAGCGCGGCGTGGGCATGGCCCAAGCAGCTCAGGACCTGGTGAAATGGTGTGTGTGGCTTCGCCTCCAGCTCCCAGCTGGTCTGGGGGGGACCACCCCACCTGCATGCAGGGGTATTACACCTGGGGATGCCACACATGGTGGCGGTGGCACGAGGTGCGTGTGGCACAGCCTCAAGAGCCCCTTTGCCCTCTTTCCTGCCACAGCCCGGGAGCCAGTCACCGCCGCTGTGCCGGCGCGGGCCACCTGCCCGCAGGGGCACACCAGGACCTGCCGGGCAGCTGACGTGGGAGGAGGACATGCGGCACCTGGAGAGGCAGCTGGGGAGCCTGCGGGTGATGCACGAGGTGCAGCCAAGGCAACCGCTGCTGGGGCAGCCAGAGGAGGAGCTGCCACCATTCGTGCCACGGTCCGCCACCCCGGCACCCCGGCATTCTGCCCTTACCCGTGAGGACG